GATTCATTCATTCCCCTGTAGGTTTCATTTAGGCACATGCCTGTGGATTCTTCTGAAATGGGAGTGGTGCGCGATGCAGATTTCGACTGCTGCCTGCAAGGACTCAAAAAGCCACTTTGCTCTCCATGGAGGTGAATGGGTTGGCTGACTGTTAAAAGTAGATGCCAGAACTGGTTTCCACTGGCTGCTGAAGATATCTGAACCCTGAAAGTGCTGGTGGTTGGAGCCTTGCTGCTCTGTTATGTTAATAGTGACCAGCCTCACCAGGAAGAGGTACTTTTGAGAATGGACACCTTTTTCTAGTTCAATGCAGATTATACTTGGAAGGCAAGACAACAGTAGGACCAGGTGAATTATACCAGTCCTCAGAGTGCACGTTCCAGAAAGGCTGGCTGGCTGACACAGGCACTGTGTTTCAAGGAGAAAGCACTAAGACTCTTTCTTCATCATCTCACTTGTGTTCCAATTTCTCCATTGCTGGTTTTGAAAACCCCTAACCCAGAATATAATATCTCAACACATAGAACTTACTGTAGGTGAGAGTGTTAAGTGCCAGATGTTCTTCCAAGCAGGAAACTATGAACTGCTGGATAGCTCTGTGGTTTAGGAATCTGGCTTTGGAGTCAGAGGTTGGGAGTTCTATTACCTGCTGTGCTTCCTTAACAGGGACTAGCCTGAGTGATGATCCATAGGGTCCCTTCCAGCTCTGCAGTTCTAAGATTATCACTATTATAGGCAAAACTATAAATTTATATTTAGTTTGCCTGATCAGCAGCTACTTTCATCACACTATTCAGCCCTGGGCTGCTCTACCCAAGGCTGAATAGAAGGGAGAACTGGCAATACCCTCATTTTGCAAAAGGTTTCCACTAACATAGGTTGTTGACAATTCTGGTGATCATCAGCTATTACACATACCCTTATGAATGCAGTCTTAGAGACAGACAGACCTGCACACATCACTTCTGCATGCAAAGAGCGAAGATGCTGGGAGTGGGAAAGGAAACATATTGAAGGGATAGGAAGGGGAGGGAGGGGAGGAGGTGATCATTGGCAAATAAGCCACTAACCAGAAGTGAGTAGGAGACTATTTGACTGCTAGCCAAATGAAGCAGCACATCAGTCATCAGAAGTATGGTATGTTTATTGTTGGATGCTTTAATTGGCCAGCTTGTTGGATTTACTCAAATAAAAGCTTTCTGTGTGAGTACACACCAGGAATGTGCAGAATGACTGCTGCCAAGCAGGACTGGCCAATATCCAAGTTAGCACACTGACTGCAGAGAAACATTTTTCATCCAGCACTCTCATCTTTCCCCCTTGCCACTCTGATCATACTTAAAAAGTGCATGAGTAGGGTACACTGTAAAGCACTTCCTTATTTAATCCCTCCTTCCCTGCTGTGAAGACTGTAGGCTGAAAACAAACAAGTCCTCAGCAGTGCACAATTAACATTTAGAATTCCTACCATCTGGAACTTGCTGAATTTGAATCCCTATTTAAAAAGAAACCCCAATTGGTATTACCGGAAGTCCTAATGCTTGCCTTCTTGAACTTCCAGATATATTTGTCTGGAACTTTGCTCCAATCCTCCAGGGCTCTTCTCACTTCTTAAAGTGGCTCCTCTCACAAACCTACGATGTATGGACATATGTACCTATAGTGTATGGCTTCTTCCCACCTTCTAAAGTCAGCTCAGGAGATGGACTTACCAAGGATTTAAAATGTAGAGGAGGCAGCAACAAAAACAATTCCAAAGAAAAGGAAATGCAAGAAAGCAAAGTGGCTGTCCAATGAGGCCTTAGAAATAGCAGAGAGGAGAAGGGAAACAAAATGCAAGGGAGATAGGGAAAGTTACAGAAAACTGAATGCAGACTTCCAAAGAATAGCAAGGAGAGACAAGAGGGCCTTCTTAAATGAACAATGCAAAGAAATAGAGGAAAATAACAG